TCTCTGGTGTTCTGCAGTCTGCGGTGCTACAACCTGCCCCCCCCCCCTGCAAGAGGGCGGCCCTGTGCATGTTTCTCATATTATAGCTATATAGATATATATTGGAGAATAGACAAAAGATGCCAAAAGTCTGTCTGTGCATTGGGAGCATTGTGTGGGTGTGCAGAAGACGCGGTGCAATGATCATTAGGTGTTACATTTGTTGTGGTGATAAGTTATGATGTTGTATACTTTGGCTGGGAGGGATGGGGTGTTTGTGTATGCCTGGGGGGGTCAGTGGCGGTCGGGTTGTCAACAAAGAGGACCGGACAATCCGAACCCCACATAACTCTGGATTCCCGTTTTGCTCCCTCTAAGCTGTGCGGTGCAATACCTCGATTTCTACCAGCTAGCTGAGCGCTCTGTAGACTAGCTCCTCGCCAACCACGGATGGTGTTTTTGTATACACAGCCCGTCAACTATTAGTTTTTAATCTCATGGATTTGAGTCCGACGTATTGGATGATGTGTTCAAAGGATCACCACAGCGATATCTGCGTCCCCAAGAAAACGGACAATCTGCCTTCACTCTGGTGGAAAAGCAAATTGAATTTTATTTATTAAATTGTAAATATGTAATGCAATTCAAGAAAATGGCTCGGTCCTTGTCTGTTCAATATACCGTTTCTAAGCTCTGATCTTTTGTATGTCTCAGAAACTGTTTTTATATGTATTTTTTACAATAAATAAGTGTGAAAGATGTTTGGTCGTGTTTTTTATGGCGTTTTCTATGTGAAACGGCTGCATTTAGAGTTGAATTCTGCCACCATTTTTAATTGTTCAAACAGGAAAAAACACTGTTTCCAAATTGAATTATTTTAACATAGTATTTAATAATAGATTTTTTTTTCTGTTATTTTAAGGCAAAGTTTCTAATGTTTAAAACTTCTTTTGAAAGACTTTATTTTTCTTATTTCAATTCCTGGAGAAAGCGAATGGGCTTTCTCCAGGAAATCTTAATATCAAACCTTAAAAAAGATAACTCAATAAACCAAATAAGTCAATTATGGCAATAAGTTTAACTAGTTTACTTACAGGCAGTAAGTTTGATTAAATCTACGTCTCAAGTCCGGAGAATCAACAATTTTTCATTTTAATGCTGTTTGTGGCATGAAAGACCCTTTACAGAGAAGCAAAAACCACATTTCCAGCTGAATGACAGATCGGCTCTGCGAGGGGGGGGCATTCAGTTTCAGAACATGTCACAACCTCCACTC